ATATTCCTTGAATGTCCTGCTTTTCCTTGATCTCTTAAGTATCAAACTGCATGTGATATCTGTGATTAAACTCATTCCCCTGCCAGTGGGAACAGATCCACTTCACACTCACCCTCAACCTCTTAGAGATGGGAAAAGATTACAAAACAAACATATTTTTCTAACTTTTTGTGTATGAGTTCATTCCAATATGATGTCATCCCGCAGAAACTCAGGATGAAAACTGACAAAATGGAAATTTACTAGGAATTTAATATAAAGTCCCATAATTTGGTTCAAAAAATAAAGTGCACAAATAGGCCTTTGGCTGCCATTCACATATACATTTGATTATTTGCATTACTCTCAAATTTGATGTGGGCCAGTAGCATAATATAGGCCTGTGCCGTATAGGATAAGCAGAGTCCCGGGGGCCTGGGCCGACTGGAAGTAACTGCTGAGGCAGTGGCCAGGTCAGATAGTATGAAGTCAGCAGTCTTAAAAGAGATCAGACGGAGCAAGGTCAGAGAGGCAAACAGCAAGAGAAGGCACCTGTGGCAGGTGATCAGCAAGAAATTAAAACGAGGGGATCAGTCATGTCGAAGCTTAGCGATGAGCACATGGTGGAGGGTGGAGCAGGGGGAATGGGGACAAATTCAGCAAACAGCTACTGCTGTAACAAAGGGCTCCAGCTCCTCTTCTTCTCCCCCCTCAACCTTATGTTCCCAAGCAGCTTCCCAAGGTCTAGATTTCTCCATGTCCTAGAATTTAAGTCCATCTTAGCCTAACCCCATCCAGTTAAAGTGGTCTCTGATTTGTTCAGAGGGGAGAGTCACCTGTCCTACATTACAAGATTTCAGAGCCCACGTGTAGAGGAAGGAGTTACCTTGTTGCACACTGCTCCCGTTCATTAGCCACTATTCTGTTATTTCTGGGTCAGCAGCCCTCACACATGCCCTGGTCATTCCTGCTTTCCTGCCTCTGCTAATGCTCTTATACCTCCCTGACTTCCTTCCCTCTGTCACACATCTTACCTTTAAAGGTTCATCTCAAGTCTTGCCTGTTTCATTCAGTGCCTGCCTGCTAAGTCTCCCTGCCCTCATTCTTGTTCCCCTTCTCTCACAGCTCTGCAGAACAGAATGTGATTCATTGTCATGGGAGATGAGGGCAGGAGGTAATTCCCTCCATGTAATTATTAACTCCTTAAGTAATTTGTGAGCTTTGAAAGGATGGGAATTATGTCTTCCAGAGGCCATGGTACAGGAGAGAGTTTTGGGATTAGGAAAATAACCTGGTATTTAATCCTGGTTCCGTGACATGTAGCATATACCTCTCTAGGCCTTAATTTCCTCTGATGTAAAATAGGAATAATGATTCCATGCTCTGGATTCCTTACACAGGGGATCAAATGAACACAGATAATAGCATTTTTTAACCTGTAAAGCACTCTAAGAAAGTGAAGAGTTAGCATAAAATGTTCCATTATGTTGTCAAAAGTGGAAAAGGATTTGAGGAATCCAAACTTGAGGTAGATTTTAATTTCTGCTCTACCACTTACTCTGTGAATTGTCTTAGAAAAGTTTCTTACTTCTCTTGTGAAATGGGAATGGCACTGTTACAAGGATTATAGTGCTGAAGCTGGTTTATGTACCACTCATAGGAGCCAGTTGTCAAATATTTAGGAAGTGGCCAGGCGCGGTGGCTCACGCCTGTAATCCTAGCTCTTGGGAGGCCGAGGCGGGCGGATTGCTCAACGTCAGGAGTTCAAAACCAGCCTGAGCAAGAGCGAGACCCCGTCTCTACTATAAATAGAAAGAAATTAATTGGCCAACTGATATATATATATAAAAAATTAGCCGGGCATGGTGGCGCATGCCTGTAGTCCCAGCTACTCGGGAGGCTGAGGCAGAAGGATCGCTCGAGCCCAGGAGTTTGAGGTTGCTGTGAGCTAGGCTGACGCCACGGCACTCACTCTAGCCTGGACAACAAAGCGAGACTCTGTCTCAAAAAAAAAAAAAAAAAAATATTTAGGAAGTTTGCAAGCAGGTTGTTAAACTTTTATTAGTTTGAAATCTGCTATGGTAGGATAACCATCAAAAACTACAAATCAGATTGTTGTTGTTTTGAGGAGAGCTGATTTACAGTACATTGCTGATTATGTAAATAGGCCTCTGTAAATTGTAAAGCACTTTGTCTTTACAAAGGTAACAGTAATGTTCTATATCCACAGAACCTGGCCTAGTGCATGGCACAGTTCCCAGGATATATTTGATAAACACATTTTTAACTTGATTTTATTATTTGGAAACTTCTGCCCCTGTGCTTAATGAGCCCCCATATTTACCTTTCTTCAAATCCCTCTCTACAAAGTGTCTTTTTAAAATCAGATAACCTAAATAAAAGCCTAGTTCAGTGCATGACACACAGTAGGCCCTAAATTCTGTGTATCCGTAATTGAGCCAATTATCTTCTTTCCAAACCTTTTCTTTTGGCATTTCATATCTCAGTTATTGGCATTCTGTATCTATTCATTATTCCAAGTAAGTTATTTGAAAAGTCTTCCTCTCCCTCTTTCCCTCAGTCACCCCCATGTCTAATCAATTGCTAGTTCACCAGTTCTACCTCTTAAATTTACCCTGTCCTCTTCATTGCCATTGCTACTGCCTTGGTGCAGGCCCTCATTTCTTACTTGAACTCTACCTCCTAACTGGATCTCCAGTCTTTCCCTTTCAATCCAACCTCTGCTTCTATAGATGTGATTTTAACTTACAAATCTGACCCTTCCTTAAGATTCCTTAATGGCTCTCTGTTGTCCTGAGAGTAAAACACAAAAGGTTTAGCTTGTCATATAGGTCCACCGTAATTTGACCTTTGCCTACCTTTTCTTAGAGTTATCCCCTGCTATTCCCCAGTATACCTGGAATGCCTAGTCTTTCTTTCCTAGTGACCACTAATTCACCCTGCAAGACTCAACTCAAATACAATTTCTTCTATGACATCTGTAGACATGCTTAATATTTATTTTTCTGAGCTCCCATATACCTTATACATATCTTTGTGCCATATCTAACCATGTGACTATTAGCTATTGGTCTTTCCCTCTAGATTGTACGTTCCTAAAGGGTAGGAACCTATGTACCATTCATTAATACTTAACACATTGCATAGCATGTAATAGAAGCTCCATAAATGTTTGAATAAATGAATGAGAGTTCAAAGGATAGGATAGTTTCATTGATTCATTAATACAAGCTATTCATAGGATATGGCAATGGGGGAAAAAAGGCTTAAAATTTGATTCTCAGTAACAAAGATGAGAAAATAATAAAATAGGGAAGGTCTATTTTTTTTTTTTTTTTTTTTTTTGAGACAGAGTCTCACTTTGTTGCCCAGGCTAGAGTGAGTGCCGTGGCATCAGTCTAGCTCACAGCAACCTCAAACTCCTGGGCTCAAGCAATCCTGCTGCCTCAGCCTCCCGAGTAGCTGGGACTACAGGCATGTGCCACCATGCCCGGCTAATTTTTTTTTTTTCTATATTAGTTGGCCAATTAATTTCTTTCTATTTATAGTAGAGACGGGGTCTCGCTCTTGCTCAGGCTGGTCTCGAACTCCTGACCTCGAGCAATCCGCCTGCCTCGGCCTCCCAGAGACCTAGGATTACAGGCTTGAGCCACCGCGCCCGGCCGGGAAGGTCTATTTTTATCCATAATCCCAAATATAGGAAACTATGGCTCCCTATCACCTTCAATAGAAAATGCAAACCTCTTAGCCTAGCATCCAAAGCTGCTTGTAATGTAGGTCTTGTTGCTCCATTCATATCTTCCTCTATGCACTTATATATAACTACATTCCAGCCCCTTTAGATTTCTCATCTATTCCATAGTCTTTCAAGCTTCCATGCCCTCATTCATTTTCCCCACATCTGTAATACCTTCTCCCTCTTCTTTCACTCGTGCCTTTCTTACTTACCTGATGACTGCCTACACATCCTTCAAATGAATCAAAAGTTACCACCTTTGAGCACCTTTCCCTGAAAAGATCCCTCCCTTTGTGCTTTCAGAGCACGCACTTGATTCATTGTAAGTATTGCACTGTTAATCTTCGTTGGTCTGTCTTTTGCCCTCTTTGCAAAGTGGTCTTCTTTATAACCTGGCCTCTAGCACATTCTAGATGCTTAATACAGAGTGAGGGAAGGAAGGACTATTGTATAGGGATTTATAAAGAAAGCAAAGTTATGATAAGAGCATACTTCAAATAAATTTAAGATTGACTACACATGATCTGGCCAATCTAGATCAAATCTTTATTTGTAGAGGTCAGATGACCCCAAGAAAATGGTGCTGATGAACAGATGAGAAGCAAAGAACAAGTTTAAAGAGCTGGGATTGCCCCAGATTTAGTGCAGTACAATAAAAACATAATTTATATCTCAGAATTTGTCTTATCACATACATAAAACATTTATCTATATGACTTAATGAATGCCTTAGAAAAGAGAAAAGATGAGTAGCAATTTATAACACAGGATGTAGTTTCTGATAAAAAATATGGACATCGGAACATTTTAATTTCCCTTGTGGAAAAGGAAACAATTTTTTTCTGATTAAAAAGATAATAAATATTAGCACAGAAGATTTGGAATACCTTAAAAATCACAACAGTATAAACCTCTCCCAAATTTAACCACCTAATATTAACTTTGTTAATTCTTTGGATTTATCTTTCCAGTCTTTTTTCTTATATGTGTGTTTGTGTATCCTTTTAAGTAATTTTTTAAGTTAATGTTGTATATATTGTTCTAATCTATTTTTTGTATTAGTAAGTCACAGATGTTTTCTCATGTTATTAAGTACACTTCTATGACATAATTTTTCACTACTGCACACATTTCCATCATGTGGAATAAACCACAGTTTAACCAATCCCCATTGTTTCAATATTTTTTTTATATAAACCGAAAGGGATAGTAGTTTGGATACTAAAGAAAAGGTGATCTCATGTCTTCCTCCTGTTTTTCTCAGGTTTTGGAGCCCTCTCTTGCATCAGAACTCCATTGTAATAATCCTCTGAGTGTCATCTCAGGACCTTGGTCACACTCATGGCACGATGGCCACCCCTCAGGAGCACCTGAGCTCCTCCTCTTCTCCACACTTACCCTTGAGTGAAAACAAAGCTTTCAATGGACCACAAGATGAACTCCCAACTTTGGGGAACCACCCTTCACCCACGCTCCCCGAGGACCAGCAGGAGAAGGGGGTGGCGCAAACAGAGCTAATCGAGAGCATAAATAGCCCCATCACCACAACAGTGTTGACAAGCGTAAGCGAGGATTCCAGGGACCAGTTTGAGAACAGCGTTCTTCAGCTAAGAGAACAAGATGAATCAGAGATGGCTGTGTCTCAGGGGAACAGCAACACTGTGGATGGAGAGAACATGAGTGGAACTGAAGACATCAAGATTCAGTTCAGCAGGTCGGGCAGTGGCAGCGGTGGGTTTCTTGAAGGACTATTTGGATGCTTAAGGCCTGTATGGAATATCATTGGGAAGGCATATTCTACTGACTACAAATTGCAGCAGCAAGGTAAGCCAGATATGGACTTGGAAGATGTTCCTTGTGTAAACACACCACCACCACCACCACCATCACCACCATGAACTGGGATAACCTTTGACCTGTGGGTAAATTAAAGAACTAGTGCCAAATGAAAACCCCATTTCAGCTTCCTATAGATCTTCTGAAAGGAATAGATTCACATTTGGTGGGTCTTTTTTGGTCAAAGCCCATCTTTTGTGTTGTCCAGTTCAGTGGTGTCCAAAGTAGAGTACGTACAAGACAATCCATGAGGCCAGGCATGGTGTATCACACCTGTAATCCTAGCCATGAGGCCAAGGCGGGCAGATCGCTGGAGGTCAGGAGTTAGATACCAGCCTGAGCAAGAGCGAGATCCTGTCTCTACTATAAATAGAAAGAAATTAATTGGCCAACTAATATATATAGAAAAAATTAGCTGGGCATGGTGGCTTATGCCTGTAGTCCCAGCTACTCGGGAGGCTGAGGCAGAAGGATCACTTGAGCCCAGGAGATTGAGGTTGCTGTGAGCTAGGCTGACGCCACGGCACTCACTCTAGCCTGGGCAACAAAGTGAGACTCTGTCTCAAAAAAAAAACAAAAAAAACTTTTTGACTAATAGTCTATACAATCAAAAAGTCTGATGGTCAGTGGACTAATTTAAAACTAGACAGAAGCCCCATGGGAATGGCCCTAAGGATTGCAGGACTGCCGTAGGTTGTAGTAGAAAGAAATTATTTTCTTACAGTCAAGGCATAGAGAGCTCACATTGGAAGGAAAGAACGAAATGTCTAACTAATCTTGAGACGCATTATTATTTCTAGATCCCACAGCCTTTTGGAAAGTAGGTTTTTAGCTTACTTTTCATTGTGTAGCTTGTATATTCATATATTCTAATTCAGGTGGCATGCTTTTGAAGCCCTGTGGTCTTTATAACTTTATGTTCTTTAAAAGAACTTTTTTTCCTGATAACAAAAGTAGTATATGTATAAAATTTTGAAAATACAGGTAAGTTCAAAAAAAATTTTTTTCACAATCCAGGATCCTCAGTCCCCTGAGAATAACCATCATTAATGTTTTCAGTATGTATTATCGTAGCCTTCTCGTGTATGTATGTGCACGCTTTCAAAAAAATGGAGGCACACTATTTTGTAACATTTTCATTTCATACTGTGAACATTTTCCATATCTTAAATATAATTCTTCAGCATTGGTTTAATGGCGACATAATATTAAATCATATGAATGTGCCAATGTTTATTTAAGCAATACCCGATTGCTCAACACTTAATTTGTTTGCAATTTTAGTGATTATAAGCCACACTCCAATGAACATTTATCTATTACTTTATTTTTACACACATTTGATTAGTCCTTAGGATAAATTTCTAGAAGAGGAACAGTTGGATTCAAAAGATTTGTTGTTTTAAGTCTTTTGATACATATCTTTGAGCCTTATGTAAGTGATTATGTTTTTATGAGTTTTCTCATCAAGAAATTCTGGAAAGGAAAAAAATAGACCAAAAGTGAGATTCAACCAGGCAAGGTAGCTAATGTCTGTAATTCCAGCACATTGGGAGGCTGAGGAGGGAGGATTGCTTGAGGCCAGGAGTTTGAGATCAGCCTGTACAACATAGCAATACCCCCATCTCTGCAAAATATAAATTAGTTGAGTGTCATGGTACACACTTGTAGTCCCAGCTGCTTGGGAGACTGAAGTAGGAGAGTCACTTGAGCTCAGGAGTTTGTGGTGACAGTGAGCTATGATCAGGTCACTACACTCCAGCCTGGGCATAGAGCCAGACCCTGTCTCTAAAAACAACGCGGGCGTGGTGGCTCACGCCTGTTATTCCTAGACTTGGGAGGCGAGCGCGGGATTGCTCGAAGGTCAGGAGTTCGAAACCAGCCTGGGATGCGAGACCCCGTCTCTACCAAAGTAGAAATAAATTATGAGCCAAACTAAAACATATATATCACAAATTAGCCGGCAGGGTGTGGCGCTCATGCCTGTGAGTCCCAGCTACTCGGGGTAGACGGCGAGAGGATCGCTGGCCCCTAGAGTGTGAGGTTGCTGGAGGTCAGCGTACACCAGGGCACTCACTCTAGCCTGGGACGAAAGTGAGACTCTTCTCAAAAAAAAAAACAAAAAAAAGTGAAATTCTGTCTTATTTATTTTATAACTGAATTTTGGACTCAGACCCTCCCTAAAAGTCTGCTCATCTCTTTTAGTCAGACTGTTGACAGCTTTTCCACAACAGCCAGTAGACATCAGTTACCATTAACTGCTTTTCTCACTCATTCTGTTTTTCCTATTTCTGAAATACATGTCTTAGACTAAATACCAGCTTTTCCCCTGATACCCATTTGCCCATAAAATGTATTGGGATTACTGGTAATCTATCAGTTCCGTTATTTCGGATTTGCAAGTGCACATCATCAATTCCTGCTAAGTGCAGAAATTCTTTGTCAGTCCCTGGTTTTATGTGTGTGTATCTGTCTGTCTTTTTCAGATGTACCCTGACATCCTGCACATTCCACCCTCATTTCCCCTCCATGATTTCACGGTTTCAAAGAAATTAAAGTTGTACTTGTCGCACAAAAGTTGGGGATTCCTATGTTAGACAGTATTATTATTTTTAAAATTGGGAAAGAAGATAAGCACAAAGAAGAAAATAAAAATAACTTGTCATCTCACAATTCCAAGATAACCATTCTTAATTTATTATTTTTTAAAAGTTTTTCATTCTTTGCTTAGACACAAAACTTACTAATATCTGCTTATGTGATAAACTACATTTGGGTTCTAGGATCTTCACTTGTCCAGTCTTACACTTATTTTGGTGATAATTTGGAAGTCTCAGGATCCAAATGCACCACTGAGGTTCAGACTCATAAACAGAGGCACGAGACACATCTTGTATGTCTGTTAAAAGGACCCTTTTAAAATCTTTTTATTGTTCTACAAACTAGTATTAAATTTGTATTCCAATTGACTATATGACTTTCAGAAAGGCTTATTTTAGAAATAAATAAGAAACAGGCGTGGTCAGCTTAAGATTCTTATAAGGGTATAGCAGGTGCCTAATTCTTCAGCAGATTGCAGGATATCCTAGTGAGGGCTGGTGCTGCTGTGGGCCATAAAAGAGGTTTGTTAGCCAGAAACTAACTGTAATGTTTTCCTTGTAGCTATGGGATCAGGGAGCTAATCCTTAATCCTGCATGGCAGTCAAGCAAAGGATAACACATGTAACAGACGTGTCCCTACATTTGGTACTTAGGAGGAAATTTCACTAGACTTTTTTAAATGTTAAGGATGCTCTCATCTGCCTTTTAGTATGTCGATAGTGAAGCCCAAGTAAGGTAGTATATGTAATTAAAATTTTTTATTGCCAAATATTGTCCATTTTCAAAGCAAGTATTGTCATAGGCCATGTCTGAATAAACAAAGGAGAACTTCTACCTTAAACTGAGTGGGCATGGAGCTTTTTCTCAGTCCCAGGGATCATGGCGGATATTAGAATTAAGATAGTAGTCATAGTGATGAATCAAAGGGAAGATAAAAGCTGGGGAAGAGTCCCAATGGGACAGATATAAAAGCAGCAGAAGTATGAGACTAACCCTGGGGAGAGTATAGCCAGTTCTCTATTATTATGAGGTTAGTTATTTTGCTTATCAACTATCTCTGCTCCCAATTTTGTACACGCTTATTAGTAACTTTCTCTTTTCTGCCATTTTGCCGTTCCTTGGCTCGATACTAGGTACTGACAGGGACTTTGAGACTGGGCAGAGTACTAAATTCATATCAATCAATTTTATTTCTAATTAGTTCTAGTAAAAAGACTGAAGGAAAAATTTTCAAAATATTACTTTATTTTACACTCTGTATTCTTTTATTAACAAAGCTATTCCCCTTATTTTTCTAGAGATAATTAAGACTGGGCTGAACATAGCTGAATAGCACAGGCATGAGGTAGAGGTTGGTAAAGGAGAATTTTATTCTTTGTTATAGTACCTTGAACACTTGGTATTTGAGCATCAAATGTCTTTGTCATTTATATTTTAGTAATCTATTTCTCATTTTATTTATTTATTTATTTATTTTTTATTTTTTGAGACAGTCTCACTTTGTTGCCCAGACTAGAGTGAGTGCCATGGCATCAGCCTAGCTCACAGCAACCTCAAACTCCTGGGCTCAAGCGATCCTACTGTCTCAGCCTCCCAAGTAGCTGGGACTACAGGCATGCGCTACCATGCTCGGCTAATTTTTTCTATATATTAGTTGGCCAATTAATTTCTTTCTATTTATAGTAGAGACGGGGTCTCGCTCTTGCTCAGGCTGGTTTTGAACTCCTGACCTTGAGCAATCTGCCCGCCTCGGCCTCCCAGAGTATTAGGATTACAGGCATGAGCCACTGCGCCTGGCCATATTTCTCATTTTATAAAAATACTAGCTAATAAGCATTATTTCTAAAATATAGTGAATTATAACATAAGCATCATAAAGCAACATAAGAAAGGATTATTTAACAAATTATTTTGGAATCACTAAATAGCAATATGGAAAAAATTAATTTTCCATATTATATATGTCCTCACACCATACACCAAAATAATCTCTGGATTGATGTAAAAGTTAAATTTTTAAAAATCAGAAGTTGGTTCCATAGTTCAGTGGTTAGAGCACTGGTCTTGTAAAACATCAACTAGAGATAACCTTTAGAAGATAAACTAGGCAGTGGAAGAAATTACAAAGAAAATGATAGACAACTGTATAAAATTTTTGTTCACAAATAATAAAATTAGCTGTTCACAGTGGCTCACGCCTGTAATACTAGCTAGCACATTGGGAGGCCGAGGCAGGAGGATCGTTTGAGCCCAGGAGTTGGAGGTTGCAGTGATGATGACACCACTGCACTCCAACCTACAGGAGAGCAACACCCCCTCTATGAAATAATAACAATAATCTAATAAAGTTAAAAGAAAAAGGCTCATAAAAATACTCTCTTAATTTACATCACAAAAACATAGAAAGAACTTCTTCAAGTTTATAAAAACCCTGATAAATAAATGGACAAAGGAGTTTTGACAGTTCATACAAAGCAGATGTGAGTATTAAACAAATGTGGAGAAAATACTCTACATCACTGGCAATTAAACTAGTGCAAGCTTATAAAACACTATTTTATACCTCACTAAATTAGAACTAAAAAATAATTATAATTCTCATTGCTGGCACAGTTGTGGTAAAACTAATACATTCACACATTGCTACCATCAGCAAAAACTAGCAAAATCTCTTTGGTGAGCAATTTGGAATGTATGTATTCCAACAGCCAGGGAACTGTTGTTACTCTTTAACCTAGGGATTTAATGTGAGGGAATACTGTAAAAAAAAGAAGTATCAAATATAAGTTAGCAAGACAAAAAGATGGAAACAATTACAAAAGGTAAGAGGGTACATTAAATAACTATTAAAACTTAAAATAAAAACTGTAGGCCAGGCACAGTGGCTCACGCCTTTAATCCTAGCACTCTGGGAGGCTGAGGTGTGTGCATCGTTTGAGTTCTGGAGTTCGAGACCAGTCTGAGCAAGAGTGAGACCCCATCTCTACTAAAAATAGAAAGAAATTAATTGGCCAACTAAAAATGTATAGAAAAAATTAGTCAGGCATCCCTGTAGTCCCAGCTACTCGGGAGGCTGAGGCAGGAAGATCACTTAAACCTAGGAGTTTGAGGTTGTTGTGAGCTAGGCTGATGCCACAACACTCTAGGAAGGGCAACAAAAGTGAGACTCTGTCTCCAACAACAACAACAACAAAAACTGTAGCACATGAAGGATACATAAAAAAAAAACAGAAAAAATTATACATCACATGCACTTTTACATAGCTATAAACATGAACAAAATTTTTCATGTTTATAGCTATATAAAAACTATAAACATGAAACAAAAACTAAGAAAGAAGATGACAGTGAGTATGGGATGGGATTTCAGATAAAATATGTGGTTTTCTAATGCTTCTAATGTTTAACAGTAAATAAGGAAAAAAGACACCCAAACATTGGTCTAATTTTAATAGTTGTATTAAAAATGAGAGTAATTTGGGCTTATATAAAGTTGTTCAAAGATATATTGACCAGTTATATTCTTGCCCCAGAATCCAGTAATAATATTTCATTCAGCCCCTAGAATAGTCAAAATGACACTGTTTTTAATTCTTCACTAGACCCCTAATGAGGAAAATTCTCTTATAATATGCCATCAATATCCATGTATCATGTGTGCTGCACAAATAATCTCGTGGGGATGAAAGTGAGATTCCAAGAGCCACTTAATACTCATCATAGAAGCCCTACAGATATTTAAAATAGTCAAGGCTGCTGACATGGTGATTCATACCTGTAATTCCAGCAACTCAGTAGGCTAAGGAGGAGGATTGTTTGAGGCCAGGAGTTCAAGATCAGGATAAGCAACTGTGTGAGACCCTTTCCCCCCCAGAATGAAAATAACTAGCCGGGCATGGTGCACACCTCTAGTCTCAGCTACTCGGGAGGCTGAGGCAGGATGGTTACATGAGCCCAGGAATTCCAGGCTGCAGTGAGCTATGATCATGCTACTGTACTTTAGCCTGAGCAATGAAGTGAGAACCCGTTTCCAAAAAATAAGTTAATAAATAAATGAAATAGGGGTGTAACTTGCTGTTTCCTCCCAAATCTCACTTGGTATCATTTGTTCCTTTGTTGATTTTGTATTTGTGAGCTATTTGTATTTTAGAGAGATTTGCTCTTATTCAATTTCAGTAAAGCAGAAACCTTTAATACTGTTCATATCGGGTGAATGGACTGAATGCCCATGCTATAAACTACCATCATCATAATTTTTTTCTGCTATACTATTTGAAGGTCAAGTTTTAGCCACTGTAATGAGAAAATGCATTTTATAAGGAATCTGCAGAATTTCTTGTCTCTCAAGGTAGAGGAAATTTGAGAAGAGGGAAATGCAGCTCACTTGATGAACTCTTTCTGCTCTTGCTTCATCAGTGTAGTAGATAGTGAGTTGATCTGCTTTCAAGACCAGAATATCTTCAAAGTTAACTCAACACTACTTTGTTCTGTGTTCTGCAAATAGTGGCCTTTTAGTGATCTGATGAAAATCTATCGTAACCTTTAACATTGTCATCATTGTTCTCACTCTGTGGGGCTCCTAGCTCTTTGATGTTCATTTCTTACCTATGATAACGTCCTGGTAAGAAGGGGTACAGAGAGAAGGATCAATGCTTCTTTTTTTAAAGTTTCATGAGGTTAAAGCAAATATTGATTGAATTTTTCAAGTGCTTTATTTAAAATAGCATTTTATTCATTATAAAAGTGATATAGGCTTATGGTTTAAAAATTTTTTAATACAGAAAAGGATAAAGAAACATAATATGAATGACTAATAATGCCACCACTGAGAAATGACCCCTGTTAAATTTTTGGTGCCAAAAAAAAAAAATCTCTGAGAAAAGAACTCTGAGAAAAAGAGAAACTTGAAAATCATGCAGCTATGTGGGTAAACATGTCATGACTACTGACTGATGGCCCTCTCAGTTACTTCACAAGAGGCAATGTGACATAGTGGAGAAAGCACTGGTCATGGAATCAGCCAATTCTGGGGTTCTGGGCCCAGTTCTGCCACTTACCAACTATTTGATTTTGGATAACTTACCTACCAACCCTATGCCTTAGGTTTTTCATCTGTAAATAACTATAATAAGGCCAGACTTTTAGGGTTATTGTAAGGATTGAACATATGATATGTGTAAAGTACTAGATAGTGTCTGGTATATAGTAAGTATTCAATAAAAAGTAAAAACTAAAATAAGTATTATGCATAATTATGTTCTTAGGAGAGTATCATAAAAAATCCATTCAGCAAGGATCCACTAAGCATCTGCAATAGACATTCAAAGAGGAATTAAATAACACCTATTATGGATGAGGAAGATAGGTAAACTGAACATACAAGCTCAAGGTGAGGAGGCAGGGCTACAGGAGTGTCAGGATATGTTTTGTTTGGAGGAGAGTGTATTGGAGATCTCTGATCTGTTTGATTTCAGTGGTTAAAATCTATACAAACTAATATGTATGAATATTTGATCTATACTACCAAGGTGCATAGAAAGGTTTTATCTTTGGTGGGAGACAGAGGGTAGAGGCCATTCTGGATGATGGTGAAGTCGGTACCTTCAGAATGGCCTTGTAGAATGGTCCCTGAGCAAATTCCGAGATCTCTTCAAGCCTATTTCTTGCTTATGTGCCTAGATACTTGGGAAGTGCCATTTGAGGAGATCTCAGAGCTGCAGTGGCTGGGTAGTGGAGCCCAAGGAGCTGTCTTCTTGGGCAAATTCCGAGCGGAAGAGGTGGCCATCAAGAAAGTGAGAGAACAGAATGAGACGGATATCAAGCATTTGAGGAAGTTGAAGCACCCTAACATCATCGCATTCAAGTAGGTCAAGGCTTTTTTTTTTTTTTTTAAGAAATAGAGATATTTTCTTTCCCCTGATACATACACACAAATTCCTGCTTTGAGAGACATTTCCAAAACATTCCATAGAATTAGCACTATGGTAGATGCTTTGGGAGAGTAGCAATGAACTATTAAATTTGAGTCATGTCCTTAAGCATCTTCTAATCCAGTAGTTCATTTTCCCAGGAGATGCGCTGCTCAGAGGGGGGATACACCTGGGGCAGGGAGACAGGAAGTCGATTCCCACATGCAGTCAGATCTGCTGCATCAACCTCGTTCATCAATGGACAACAGAGTTTGAGAAGCCTGAAAAGTGTGAGAAGCTTGATTTTTACTTCCTTTCTTTGGCTTCTTCCTTTTCCCTCCCAGTCTTTTTCCCGTCTCACCCTTCTGACCCTCTTGCCTGCACATGCAGTCTTCAGCATTGTTGGGCACACACATTGCCATGTTAGTGCCCAACTCTTTAGGCTGAAGATACTTGAATAGTCTTTACCTCCACATGGAAAACAATAGTGAGCCTGTGTCCCTGGCCCATTACACCATGCTCTCAGGGCATTGTGCAATGTTATGTTTGCAGCCATCTGTGCCCTGTGTTGCTTGGCCAATGAATCACATTCAGGACTGTCTGGAAGATATGAGGGCATGATTAGATTTTAGTATGTCTCTCTGGATACTGATTCTGCACTTACAGCTTCTTTGGAAGTTAGAACCATATACAGAAGGGAAGGTATAAGCTAAGAATACTGTGTTCTTTTTTTCATCCAATTTTTTTTATTAATCTCTTAAGAAAATCCAACCTGATTGTTCCTAATGGAATTCAGTGCCAAGGGGAAGAAAAGGTAGCAATTAGAAGTGATTATAGAGCTGTTATTTATAGCTACTAAGAAGCCTTGTCATAGTACAGGGCTGATGGAATGACTGCTTCTCATTAGTCAAGAAATGAAAAGTGCATAATGTATCACTGTTAAACCCTTTCTATGTTTGTGTAACAAGTTAAAACATAGTTGAATAGGATGCTGAGTACCTTCAAAGAAATATTTATCTTGATATTCTTAAGCACATTACATTATTCCTGCCGTATTCAGTACTTCTCTATAATGACAATTAAGTTATTTGTTTGTAGTTGCTGTACACTTATGCTTTACCAAGCTTTCCTAAAAGTCAAATAACAGAAACTTGAAAAAATTTTCATTAAAAATCAACATGATAGGAGAGTAATAGAAATAGCTTGGTGGCATGTGACAGGCACATCAAGGCAGGGAAAATGAAGACTAATTAAACTTCATAACCTGCTATTGTTATAAGATCTTTACATGATCAGCGCCTCAAGCCACGGCCTCTAAATTCTTTCATCACTCAGAGAAGCTTAAGAGATAGGGCATGAGTTGGTAACTGGCTGAAGACTTTCCTGGGTGTCTTACAGATAGAGTACTCTGTTCACTTTTCTAGAAAATTTCAAAGGAAGGTGTATATACCCATAAGAGATGTGACACAGAGAACTGCATATGGTAACTTTTCTTCTCTCATCTTGAGAAAATGGTGAAGTAGAGTTATTATGGTCATTCCCTCTTTCATGAAATAATGGTGTTAACATAGGAATCCCCAATATGCTTGTCTATACAGAAGTTAAAAAGCTAAAAGGTCCTGACCCTTGAGGATTGGTGGGTGCAGCGGGGGTGGGGAGCTGAAGGGGAAGAAGTGTAGTGTAGCGAGTGGAAACGGCCTTGAAGTTAGACAGACTGAGTTTGAATCCCAGCTCTGTCACTTCTTAGTATGATCTAGTTGTGATTGAGACAAGTCACTTTCTCACTCTGAGCCTTACCTATAAAAATGGAAAAGGCAATATCTCTCTTACAATGGTTTGGGGCAAATTAAATAAGAAAAATAAACATGGAAATATGCCCGAAAACAAAAAGATGTTCTCTCATGTTGGTATCTTTCCTCCTACTCCACGTCTCTGCACATGTTACTGTGAAGGCTTTTTTCAGCTAAGAAAGTTGAGGTGCAGTTAAGAAACATTTGTCAAGGATTTGCGTGAACCTCTAGGCCTTGTAGAGAGAAAAGAACTTGAGTATCTTTCCCTTCAAGGAGCCTGTGACTACATGGGGAGAGAAAAATTACATGTAAAAAACTAGGTGATACCTGCCTGTAATCCCAGCTACTCTGGGCTTAGGTGGGAGGATCGCTTGAGCCCAGGAGTTTGAGGTTGCAGTGAGCTGTGATCATGCCACTGCACTCTAGCCTGGGTGACAGAGTGAGATCCTATCTCCAAATTAAAAAATAGTGGCTGCTATATATCACAGGAATCTGGAGAAGAGAAAGATCTTTATAGACTGGAATACTCCAAGAAATGCTTCATGTAAGATATAGGAATTGATGAAAATAGAGGCTACATAGATATATAATATGTTGTATAACATTAGTTTTATTCTAAACAGAAATATTTTCCAAAGACTAGGTAAGATAGAAAATTGACTCTTTGTTTTAGTCCTTAGTATAGTTAGTTAAATTTGAGTAATTTAAAATTCAACAAATAATATTAAAAATAGCAATATTTTGTTTGAATTCTCTTTCTGTACACTACATATAAAACCCTCTACTTAAGTCTAAAAGGAAGATATTTTAAATTATTCTTAAACAACATATTAACCAGCCTACACAAACCTCAGGAAAGGGTGTTCTTTGTGCCAGAGTGGAATAATCCCACAGAAAAGTCACCAAACACAGACAGCAAACAAAAATTGTCTATGTGCATAACAGAGAAATCTGTAGACTACAGAGGTGCAATGCTAATGTAAGAATCAGGAACTATTATCTCTATATATTTTAGAAACAATTCAGATATAGAATTGGTTTATGTTAAATTTATTAAATATTCTTAAAATATAAATATGTATACATGCATGTGTGTATTTATGTACATGTTTGTGTTTTCTTGGAAGGGGTGTTTGTACTCAGGCCCCATGTTATTGTATTATCATGGAATACTGTGCCCATGGACAACTCTACGAGGTCCTGAGAGCTGGCAGGAAGATCACACCCCGATTGCTAGTAGACTGGTCCACAGGAATTGCAAGTGGAATGAATTATTTGCACCTCCATAAGATTATCCATCGTGATCTCAAATCACCCAAGTGAGTTTTGGAGCTAATTTTTCAGCTATTTTGTTTTGTTGTCTTGAAATAAAGAATTTTTATCAACCACAGTTAAGTTTTCAGACATCATACTTTCAGTTCAGGTGAAATCAGCACAGTAGGTAATTCTTTTGTGCATACCTTTTGGATTATTGTTGACCTATGTACTTACCTATATGACATATATTTCCAGGTACTAGTTTTCCCTTTTGATGCTGTTAAATTGTACAACTGTGAAATAATATTCATTACTTGGCTGGATGTAGTGGCTCATTTCTGTAATCCAAGCACTTTGGGAGGCCGAGGTGGGAGAATCACTTGAGGCCAAGAGTTTGAGACCAGCCTGAACACAAATGAGACCCCATCTCTTAAAAAAAAAAAAAAAGAGGCCTTTTTTATTGCAACAAAGGGTTTCTTCATCATCTGTGGTAAATGTATCTTGAGCTCTTGATCTGTATACCTATGGCTTACTCTTGCTTTGTAATCTTATCTTTCTCTCCTCAACAATCATTGCTTCATGCTTTAAAAAAAGAAAAATTAGCTGGGTGTAGTGGTATGTACCTATAATCCCAGCTACTCAGGAGGCTGAGGCAGGAGGATTGTTTGAGCCAGGAGTTTGAGGTTGTAGTGAGCTATGATGACACCACTGCACTCTAATCTGGGTGACAGGGGGAGACCCTGTCTGAAATATAATATATATTCATTATTATCAGAAGTATTCACTTTCCATCATCTCAGATAATCATTGCCAAACTTTCCCACTTGAAGGCTTGATTTGTTGTTTGCCTATTGTATTCAAAACAAATTTTTTAACTGAGCTTCATAAATGTGTACAACAGGATAAAAATGGATGAATAAGAAAGGCAGGCCGGGCGCGGTGGCTCACTCCTGTAATCCTAGCACTCTGGGAGCCGAGGCTGGCGGATTGCTAAAGGTCAGGAGTTCAAAACCAGCCTGAGCAAGAGCGAGACCCCGTCTCTACTATAAATAGAAAGAAATTAATTGGCCAACTAATATATATAAGAAAATTAGCCAGGCATGTGGCACATGCCTGTAGTCCCAGTTACTCCAGAGGCTGAGGCAGAAGGATTGCTTGAGCCCAGGAGTTTGAGGTTGCTGTGAGCTAGGCTGACGCCACTGCACTCACTCTAACCTGGGCAACAAAGCGAGATTCTGTCTCAAAAAAATAAAATAAAGGAAACAAAGGCAAAGAAAAAATAAACAATAACAATAAAACTTGTTCACAAAATGTATGCCATAAGAATCTGTACAGTTGTTAGAGGTAGACTACATACTTGGCTTTGAGCTTCCTAGAATCTAAGCAAAGGAGGAAATGAACAGAAGTTTCACAGTGGCCTTAAGGAAAATAAAAGCTGGTTAATTGAGGGAAGCAGAGTTGTTTCTCGTAATCTGTTTTCAAAATGATTCCTTGGCTACTAATAACCACTGTCAGTGGAGTGTTTATTCAGTTCCCCAAATTGTATGAAGAAAGGAATTGACAAAATGGTATATTTCAGTGTAGCTCTTATTTGTAAACAATATTTTTATTATTTCTCATCACATTTTGGTTTAGAGAAGTAGAGGATTAATCTCTTTTCAAAAACATATTTGCAAGGCCAAGCACTGTGGCTCATTCCTGTATTCCTAGCACTTTTGGACGCCAAGGCAGGAGGATCACTTGAGGATAGGAGTTCGAAAACAGCCTGAGCAGCATACCAGACTTATTTTTTCTACAAAAAACAGAAAAATTAGCTGGGCATGGTGGTGTGTGCCTGTGGTCCCAGTTACTTGGGAGGTTGAGACAAAAGGATCACTAGAACCTAGGAGTTTTGAGGTTGTAGCTATGATGATGCCACTGCACTTTAGCCCAGGCAACAGAGTGAGACTCTGTCTCAAAAACAAAACAAAACTGGCCAGGCGAGGTGGCTCATGCTTGTAATCCTAGCACTCTGGGAGACCAAGGTGGGCATCTAGTTTGAGCTCAGGAGTTCCAGACCAGCAAGAGTGAGACCCCGTCTCTACTAAAAAAAATAGAAAGAAATTAGCTGGGCAACAAAATAGGAAAAAAATTAGCTGGGCATGGTGGCGCATGCCTGTAGCCCCAGCTACTCAGGAGGCTGAGGCAGAATGATCGCTTGAGCCCAGGAGTTTGAGGTTGCTGTGAGCAAGGCTGATGCCACTGCACTCTAGCCCAGGCAACCGAGTGAGACTCTGTATAAAAACAAAAACAAAAACCAACATATTTGCATAGTGCTTTCATGGTTTACAACTTTTAAATATCTATTATCATATCTTCTTTGATCGCTGCAAAACTGTGTGGGATAGATTTGACAAGTGTCATTATTCCTATTTTATATAAGAGAAACTAGGGCTTAACCCAAAAGTCATGGGGTTAGGACTTGAACCCAGAACTTCTGAACCAAAGACTACTGCATCCTACCTCATTATTTGAAGGTAAGGGATTCACAATGAATCCTGCCTCTTCTTTGTAAAAGATACAAATCAACCCTTGATTATAAACTTCAAAGGAAGGTCTTATTTATCACCATCATTCTCAGCAATGTTTATTACAGTGCTTAGTTCACTAAACAGTCCCCTCTTTCCTTTACTTGCAAATATTTTATTATATATTTTTCATTTCTTCTTAACACAACCAGTTGCTTTTGCCATCCACTACACATAAAGTATATGAAATATTAATACTTGCCAAAGGCCTATGAGAGTGATCATCTTTTTCACCATCTTGTTCTTGAGAATTAATTTTAGAGGCAAGGAGTTGGGAACTCTCATGCTACTGTCTTTAACTCCTGTCATTTAAAGATTAGAATAGTAAGTTGGTTATCCAATAAGCCTTTCCCTGTGTTAATGATAGCATTCCCTACCCTGGCAGCCTCAGCTTCTTTGGGTTTCAAGGTCACTTTGAGAAGACAAGATCAACGTGACTTACTGTAACAAGACAGTCTATTGCCTACATTAAATCTGCAGGGTTTGTGAACCCAACTTTGTCTCAGAGAAGATTTCATAAAAATTCCAACATTATATTATCTCTAGTTTCCAAGTTCATTCCCTCTTGTCATTCTAACAGAGGCAAAAGAGGAAGTTCCTAGAAAAATTTCCCTTTCTAGGGGCTTTTTGCCTTTTCTGACTTTCGTGGTATATGATACCATCAATTCTCCAATTATCTCAGGTATTCCATAATATTTTAATTCTCATATATTTTTAACTAACACCATTAAATTAAAACTCCTAAATTATATAAATTTTACATGTCAGGTGCAAAACCAGAGTGTGGATGAAGGTATTCTAAAGCAATTGTAAGTACTGAGTGCTTTGGTAAATAGAGAGCTTTTGACATTGGAGGTGTAAACTTGGCAAATGTGAAGTTCCTGGTTCAAAGGGAGAAGGGAGGGAATAGATTCAGATGTTTTCTGTTTTATAACCTCTTCAATTCTGATACTATTTGAGCATTAAGCCTCTTTTTGTTAAAAATCGGTCCAAATGTTAGTAAGCCTCTGGAACCCTAACTCATTAACATTCTAAAGTTATGAACAGGTTATTTCAAGTGAATTCAGTGCAGTGTGTGAGGCTGCCAGTACTTTGGATGTGGCACCAGATCATATTCCTCTTTGAGGCTAGCAAAGCAGTTTGCCCAAGGTCACAGTTCAGGTAACTACTATGAAAAGTAAACCATGACTTATGTGGAACCTAAAGCTTAGATTTATTCCTGCTTTTCCTTATCAGCACTAGTGAAATCCCAGCATACATGTTAGCCTTTTAATGTCATGAATGTAATGAAGCCTTTTAATGTCATGGTCTCATTCTTAATATTAGTTGGCTATCATTTTAACAGTGTTTAAAAGAAGTGTTTTTCTTAGTAGCTTGGCTAAAACAGGCAAGGATGAAAACCAATATTTATTGATCACGGGTGCTTTACCTATCTTACCTCATTCAGTTCAAATGAAAATTCAATGAGGTTGTTATTCCAGGTCCATAATCCCTTTCCCAAAACTCTTGGAGCGAGAAGATTTCAGAGAGATAACAGTGCATTACCTTCAGACATCTAGTGAAGTCTGGAGCAGCACCCTAAAGTCAGCCACATTTACATAGCCATATTTACATAGCCATATTTACATATTTAAATATCTGTAGGGAAGCCTATGATATTTACACAAAATGGGATAAATGAAGTGAGTTTGCCTCGTATATATGAAAAAAATATTTATAAACCGTTTTGAGAACTTTTTGCATTTTTGAATTGTGAATAAGAAACCCTGACCTGAAGTGTCTCCATCTTACAGATAAGAAAACTAGCTTAGAAGAGCCAAGTGATTTGGCAAAGGTCACACAGTTAGCAAGTAATGGAGGTGGGATAAAACCAAGGATTAAAACCCCAGTAAGCAAACTGCCTCAGAAGCAAGAATGATGCTGTTTTTTAAGTCAATGTCCCAGTAACACTGGAAATTGCAAGCAGAATTCTACAAGGAAGGAGGAAGCAAACCAAATCTTCAGTTTCAGCCATTTAGAGTCGTGGTTTTCATTAGTACTAACGATCCGGATGTTTTCTTTCCTTCTTTTTAAAGTGTTTTAGTGACTCACACAGATGCAGTAAAAATTTCAGATTTTGGTACATCTAAGGAACTCAGTGACAAAAGTACCAAGATGTCCTTTGCTGGCACAGTCGCATGGATGGCTCCAGAGGTGATACGGAATGAGCCTGTCTCTGAAAAAGTCGATATATGGTGAGTGGCACCATCTGTGCCGACTAGAAAGCCTTTTTCCACTTTCACCGTATCAGTGCTTTCTTCCTGCAACAATTTTACTTTCTCAGAATGTTCTCTAGTGTTGCCCGCTTCTGGTTGATTTTAGTCTCATATTATCTGGGGTACCCAGTGTGCTGATACATGGCGAGAAGGATTAGGAGGGGAATTAAAGTGCATATGCATTCAGTGATCTGGGGGACCCTCAGAGAATATGCTGAACTTTCTAGAAAACTGAAAGTTTACTTCAAATAATAGAGAAGTCTTTCTGAAATGTATTACATAATTCTCACCTTCTTGAGTAAAATACATTAAACAGAGTTTATCTTTTCCTAATGACTCAGGCCATCATTACAATATCAACAATGTGCTTTGCTGTGATACGGTTATATGCTCTAAGACCTGTTTGAGATGTATAGGCTGTTTGTCCTTTTACTGAACAGCCCCTGTGGGCTATGCTTTTTTCTTTAATCTTTATCAACACTTCCTCTGAGGTTATAAGTCTTTACTATTAATAGTATTTTTCCCTGTAATTGCTTTTATTTTACTCTTAAAATTGGAGTCTAGTAACTTTTAGGCTTAAAATCAAAATAATGACATATGTTAAAATTGCATGTAATAACAGAGTAAATAGGATAAAGTAGAAATGTGGGATCATTTTTAAGTTGGGTAATTATTACCAAAGTGTCTTCCTTAGGGATTATACCAATTTATATTCTTGCCAGAAATGTGTAAGAGTATTTTCTTAGTCTCGCCAACAAAATGTACTAAACTTCTGGATTTTGCCAATCATATACATAAGAAGCAATGTCTTAGGTACAGTTTTAATTTACATTCCTCTTATTATAAGTAAGTTTATATATCTTTTATATTTTTAAGAGCCATTTATAATTTCTTATTTGTGAACTATCCATATTCTTGGCTTAGTTTTTTGATCTGTATTCTTATCAATTTATAAGAGTGTTTTTTATATTAAGATTAGCCTTTTGTGTACATCATAGAAACTTTTCACATTTTATTATTTTGCTTATGATTTTTTCATGCCAGATTTTTTAATGCAGTTTAATTTCTCAATCTTTTCTTTTATGGCTTCTAGATTTCATAGTTTTAAAAGCCTTCATCTCAAACCAATTACAGATTCCTTAAAAAATAAAATTAAAAGGCTTCATTGCTCCAAGATTATTATTATTTTTAATTCTACATATTTTCTTTTAGGATTTTTGTGGTATCCTTTTTCACATTTAAACCTTTGATTCATTTAGAATTTTTCTTGATGTATGGTGATGTGTGATTTAATTATTTTCCCCAATTATTCCAACAGCATTTATTGACTAATCAATTTTTCCCACCAATTTGTGATCATATATTAAATTCCTATATGTATTTGGTCTATTTCCGGGTTTCTAGTCCAGTCCATTAGTCTGGCTGTCTATTCATGCACCAGAGTTTATTACTAAGGCCTTATAATGTATCTTAATATCTGGTCTTCTTGGTTGCCCCACAGTGATTTTCTTTTTCTGAGTTTTCCTGGATGCTTCTGTTTTTCTTATAGCAGTATTGGAATTTTAAAACTGGGAATATGTATTAATTTCATTAAAATTAATATGTCAGTATTTCTGAAATGTCTTCTGTACATGTTCCTTGTACTACTGTAGGTCTTTCGGAGTGGTCCTTTGGGAGCTGCTGACAGGAGAGATCCCTTACAAAGATGTAGATTCTTCAGCCATTATTTGGGGTGTTGGAAGCAATAGCCTACACCTTCCAGTTCCTTCCACTTGCCCAGATGGATTCAAAATCCTTATGAAACAGACATGGTGAGAATATTGTCTCTAAAACAGCAAAGAAGTCTCTAATGCGTATTTGGAGCGAATCTCCTGATGATGGAAAAACTAGGAGTCTTGGGCTGGGCGCCATGGCTCATGCCTATAATCCCAGCACTATGGGAGGCCAAGGCGGGTGGATCGTTTGAGCTTAGGAGTTCCAGACCAGCCTGAGCAAGAGCGAGACCCCATCTCTACTAAAAATAGAAAAAAATTAGCTGGACAACTAAAAATATATGTAGAAAAAATTATCCAGGCATGGTGATGCATGCCTGTAGTCCCAGCTACTCATGAGACTGAGGCAGAAGGATTGCTTGAGCCCAGGAGTTTGAGGTTGCTGTGAGCTAGGCTGACGCCACTGCACTCACTCTAACCTGGGCAACAAAGCGAGATTCTGTCTCAAAAAAATAAAATAAAAAGGAAACAAAGGCAAAGAAAAAATAAAAACAATACAACTAAAACTTGTTCACAAAATGTATGCCATAAGAATCTGTACAGTTGTTACATACTTGGCTTTGAGCTTCCTAGAATCTAAGCAAAGGAGGAAATGAACAGAAGTTTCACAGTGGCCTTAAGGAAAATAAAAGCTGGTTAATTGAGGGAAGCAGAGTTGTTTCTCGTAATCTGTTTTCAAAATGATTCCTTGGCTACTAATAACCACTGTCAGTGGAGTGTTTATTCAGTTCCCCAAATTGTATGAAGAAAGGAATTGACAAAATGGTATATTTCAGTGTAGCTCTTATTTGTAAACAATATTTTTATTATTTCTCATCACATTTTGGTTTAGAGAAGTAGAGGATTAATCTCTTTTCAAAAACATATTTGCAAGGCCAAGCACTGTGGCTCATTCCTGTATTCCTAGCACTTTTGGACGCCAAGGCAGGAGGATCACTTGAGGATAGGAGTTCGAAAACAGCCTGAGCAGCATACCAGACTTATTTTTTCTACAAAAAACAGAAAAATTAGCTGGGCATGGTGGTGTGTGCCTGTGGTCCAGAGATGTATTATGCATAATTATGTTCTTAGGAGAGTATCATAAAAAAATCACATTCAAAGGACCACTAAACATCTGCCAAGACATTCAAAGAATGGAATTAAATAACAACTATTTGGAGAGCAAGATAGGTAAACTGAACATACCAAGCTCAAGGTGAGGAGGCGGGCCTAGCAGGAGTGTCAGGATATGCTTTTGTTGAGGACAGTGTATTGAGATCTCTGATCTGTTTGATTTCATGTTAAAATCTATACCAAAGCTCAATTGTAATGAATCATTTGATCTATATACAAGGCGTGGCATAGAAGTTCTTCATCTTTGGTGGAACCAGGAGGGTAGAGCCATTCTGGATGATGGTGAAGTCGGTACCTTCGAATGGCCTTGTAGAATGGTCCCTGAGCAAATTCCGAGATTCTTCAAGCTAATTTCTTGCTTATGTGCCCTAGATACTTGGGAAGTGCCATTGAGGAGATCTCAAGAGCTTCAGTGGGTGGGATGTGGACCCAAGGAGCTGTTCTTCGGGCAAATTCCGAGCCGCAAGAGGTGGCATCAAGGAAAGTGAGAAGAACAGAATGAGACCGGATATCAACCATTTGAGGAAGTTGAAGCACCCCTAACATCATCGCATTCAATAGGTCAAGGCTATTTTTTTTTTTTTTTTTTAAGAAATAGAGATATTGTTTTTCCCCTGATATATACAACAACAAATTCCTCTTTGCAGAGACATATTCCAAAACATTCATAGAATATAGCACTATGGTAGCAGATGCTTTGGGAGAGTAGCAATGAACTAATTAATTTGAGGTCATGTCTTAAGACATCTTCTAATACCAGTAGTTCATTTTCCAGGGCAATGCGCTGCTGCAAGGGGGAACACCCTGGGGCAGGAGACAGGAAGTGATTCCACACGCAGTCAGATCTGCTGCATCAACCTCGTTCACCCAATGAAACAGAGTTTGAGAAGTTGAAAAGTGAGAGTGATTTTACTTCCTTTCATTTGGCTCTCTTCCTTTCTCCTCCAGTCTTTTTCCTCTCACCCTTCTGACGCCTCTTGCCTGCACATGCAGTCTTCCAGCATTGTTGGGCACCAACATTGCATGTATGCCCAACTCTTTAGGCTGAAGAACTTGAAGTCTTTACTCGCACATGGAAAACAATAGTGAGCCTGTGTCTGGCCCATTTACACCATGCTCTCAGGGCTTGTGCAATGTTATGTTTGCAGCCATCTGTGCCCTGTGTTGCTTGGCCAATGAATCACATCAGCGATGTCTGGAAGATATGAGGGCATGATTAGATTTTAGTATGTCTCTCTGGATAACTGATCTGTACTTACAGCTTCTTTGGAATTAGAACCATATACAGAAGGGAAGGTATAAGCCTAAGAATACTGTGTTCTTTTTTCATCCAATTTTTTTATTAATCTCTTAAGAAAATCCAACCTGATTGTTCCTAATGGAATTCAGTGCCAAGGGGAGAAAAGGTAGCATAAGAAGTGATTATAAGCTGTTATTTATAGCTACTAAGAAGCCTTGTCATAGTACAGGCTGATGGAATGACTGCTTCTCCATTAGTCAAGAAATGAAAAGTGCATAATGTTCACTGTTAAACCCTTTCTATGTTTGTGTAAATTAAAAACATAGTTGAATAGATGCTGAGTACCTTCAAAGAAATTATTATCTTGATATTCTTAAGCACATTACATTATTCCTGCCGTATTCAGTACTTCTCTGTAATGACATTAATCTATTTGTTTGTATTGCCTGTACACTTATGCTTTACCAAGCTTTCCTAAAAGTCAAATAACAGAAACTTGAAAAAATTTTCATTAAATCAACATGATAGGAGATAATAGAAATAGCTTGGTGGCATGTGACAGGCACATCAAGCAGGGAAAATGAAGACTAATTAAACTTCATAACTGCTATTGTTATAATCTTTACATGATCAGCGCCTCAAGCACGGCCTCTAAAATTCTTCATCACTCAGAGAAGCTTAAGAGATAGGCATGAGTTGGTAACTGGCTGAAGACTTCCTGGGTGTCTTACAGATAAAGTACTCTGTTCACTTTTCTAGAAAATTTCAAAGGAAGGTGTATATACCATAAGAGATGTGACAGAGAGAACTGCATATGGTAACTTTTCTTCTCTCATCTTGATAAATGGTGAAGTAGAGTTATTATGGTCATTCCTCTTTCATGAAATAATGGTGTTAACATAGGAATCCCCAATATGCTTGTCTATACAGAAGTTAAAAAGCTAAAAGGTCCTGACTCTTGAGATTGGTGGGTGCAGCGGGGTGGGGAGCTGAAGCGAAGAAGTGTAGTGTAGCGAGTGGAAACGGCCTTGAAGTTAGACAGACTGAGTTTGAATCCCAGCTCTGTCACTTCTTAGGTATGATCTAGTTGTGATTGAGACAAGTCACTTTCTCACTCTGAGCCTTACCTATAAAAGGAAAAGGCAATATCTCTCTTACAATGGTTTGGGGCAAATTAAATAAGAAAATAAACATGGAAAATATGCCGAAAACAAAAAGATGTTCTCTCATGTTGGTATCTTTCCTCTACTCCACGTCTCTGCACATGTTACTGTGGAAGGCTTTTTCAGCTAAGAAAGTTGAGGTGCAGTTAAGAAACTTTGTCGAGGATTTGCTGTCAACCTCTAGGCCTGTAGAGAGAAAGAACTTGAGTATCTTTCCTTCAAGGAGCCTGTGACTACATGGGAGAGAAAAATTACATGTAAAAAACTAGTGATACCTGCCTGTAATCCCAGCTACTCTGGGCTTAGGTGGGAGGATCGCTTGAGCCAGGAGTTTGAGGTTGCAGTGAGCTGTGATCATGCCACTGCACTCTAGCCTGGTGACAGATGAATCTTATCTCAAATTAAAAAATAGTGGCTGCTATATATCACAGGAATCTGGAGAAGAGAAAGATCTTTGTAGACTGGATACTCCAGGAAATGCTTCATGTAAGATATAGGATTGATGAAAATAGAGCTACATAGATATAAATATGTTGTATAACATTAGTTTTATTCTAAACAGAAATATTTCCAAAGACTAGGTAGATAGAAAATTGACTCTTTGTTTTAGTCCTTAGTATAGTTAGTTAATGGTAATTTAAAATTCAACAAAATATTAAAATAGCAATATTTTGTTTGAATTCTCTTTCTGTACACTACATATAAAACCCTCTACTTAAGTCTAAAAGGAAGATATTTTAAATTATTCTTAAACAACATATTAACCAGCCTACACAAACCTCAGGAAGGGTGTTCTTGTGCCAGAGTGGAATAATCCCACAGAAAAGTCACCAAACACAGACAGCAAACAAAAATTGTCTATGTGCATAACAGAGAAATCTGTAGACTACAGAGGTGCAATGCTAATGTAAGAATCAGGAACTATTATCTCTTATATTTTAGAAACAATTCAGATATAGAATTGGTTTTTGTTAAATTTATTAATTTCTTAAAATATAATATGTATCATGTATGTGTGTATTTATGTACATGTTTGTGTTTTCTTGGAAGGGTGTTTGTACTCAGGCCCCGTGTTATTGTATTATCATGGAATACTGTGCCCATGGACAACTCTACGAGGTCCTGAGAGCTGGCAGGAAAGATCACGCCCCGATTGCTAGTAGACTGGTCCACAGGAATTGCAAGTGAATGAATATTTGCACCTCCATAAGATTATCCATCGTGATTCAAATCACCCAAGTGAGTTTTGGAGCTAATTTTCAGCTATTTTGTTTGTTGTCTTGAAATAAGGAATTTTATCAACCACAGTTAAGTTTTCAGACATCATACTTTCAGTTCAGGTGAATCAGCACAGTAGGTAATTCTTTTGTGATACCTTTTGGATTATTGTTGACCTATGTACTTACCTATATGACATATATTTCCAGGTACTAGTTTTCCCTTTGATGCTGTTAAATTGTACAACTGTGAAATAATATTCATTACTTGGCTGGATGTAGTGGCTCATTTCTGTAATCCAGCAC